GACGGAATCCAATTACACGTAAAAGTGCAATTATCGCGAATTAACCATCCTAGCTGGGTGGTGGGGCAGCTATCGTACTTAGAGAATAGGCGCTTGAAAAGTATTCCCGGCTGGGCGGTGTAAATAGCGAATTTCCAAAGTTAAACTTGCACGTCAAACTTGCCGCACTGTGTTTACCGCGCCACGAGTGGCCGCTTCCTCCTAGCTGAAGTATCTTATTTCTGGTCTCTCTCGTCGGGGTCGACTATCTCGCGCCCTTCGTAGATTGAATTTCGCCAAAAAACAGCGACGGAGATTCACGACGGCGCGCACGAGGAAACGATCGTCCCGGTTCTTGCCGCCGTCGCTCGGAGCTAATTCATCCGGGAAGCCCGCGGGGCGTGCGATTTGCCGCGGCGAAGTTTTCTATTCCCGCCGGTATCCGGCCGGCGCGGCGGCGGTATGGGCGAATGGGTGAGCCACGCGAGTCGTCCCAATGCAATTAAGATAAGCGCCCGCGATGTTTATAAATATTTTCGGGCGTTCCGTTTCTCCAGCGGCAGCGGCCGGGGCTAGGAGGGGCTAGGTTACGAGCGTGGCGCCTCGTATCTGACGTCGAGTATCCGCGTCGTGACCAGCCGGAGGCTACAACCCCTCGCGAACTTTCGCGTAGACCGACGGCCGCGGCGCGTCCCGTCCTCGGCTCTGCTCCTCTCCGCTCCGGGAGAGAAGAGAAAGAGAGATAGAGGGAAAGAGAGAGAGTGAGAGAGAGGGAGAGAGAGAGCGAGCTTTTACACGGAGTTACCCGGGGTTAGGTTGGACGCTCTACGTGCGAATGAGACGTACTGCGGTGCCGGAGATAACCGAGCGAGCTCTGGACGCGTGCGACGTGCCGCATGAAAAATTACAAGTGCGCGCGCGGTGCGCCCGTCCCTTTCTCGTCCTCCCCGCCGCGCCTCGCCTCGCCTCTCTTACTTGCTCGTTCCCTCGCCTTCGCGACGTGACTCTTCAGGGAGAAACTACCGCCACCGCTGCCGTCGCCGCATGCCGGTGCATGCATCCCCCTCACCCGCCGACGTCGTGAAACTGCGTCGTCGAAGTCCTCGCGCGAGATTAAAACGTCCCGAGTCCCCCGCGCCGTAAAACAGTAGCCGAGGATTTGAGTTCCTGTCCCTCGCGGACGAGAGACGTCCGTAAAAGCGTCGATTCGCCGCTGATTATCGGCAACTCTCTCGCGGCGTGTTCCAATTAATTAATGCGTTTGACAACTTTGTCATTGGCGTTCGGTGACCGAATCGAAATTTCAACTCCTCTTCCGAATTGAACTTTCTCATACCTGAGAATATTCTGAGGAATCAGTGCGTGCTCAGTGTTCATGGGAACTGAAGTCCTACTTAGCGTCTCTAAATAGCAGAAAACGCACAAAATAATATTTGCTGGGTCTAAAGAAATTCCTTTTGCCAAAATTAGTAGAATCAAAATATCAACTTAGATAACGATTACGCATGCATCATGACGCTTTGTATAAGTTCTGTTACACGTTTGCAACCACACGGCAAGAAACATTTTGTATCTGTATTGAAATCGATCCGCGTAAAAATTTTTGCGTTACATTTTTAACATACCCGTTTGTTAATTCGACATATCGTCGTTATGTTCTTTCGACTATTCTGCGTTGAGTTTATACTCGTCATTTCGAAGTGTTAAAATAACGCAATTTACATATAAATGTATGAATTCTAGGTGACATTCTCTACGTAAAGCGTAGAGATGAGTTATTTGTTTGCATATCTGTCTTGTGTAAAATTAACGTGAAAAATTAGAGCGGACGAATTGGGACATGTAAAATGTGTTAAATTCAAATTTAACACAAAATATTTCGCAGTGCATAGACCTACGCGACATCGCGGTAGCGCTCTCGATTCTCGCGAAAAGTGCCAGTTGTGAAGAAGTGAGATGTCCGTACGTTTACGTGCGCATGAGCTAGAGATGCAAATGACGGTAACTTATTCGTAAATTATTAGTCAGTAAATTAATTAGTAAATTAATTTATTTTTTACCAGAAAGTTGATAAAATGGTGATTTTTAGAAAAAAAATTACAACAACAAAATTTATATATGAAGCTCAAAAGAAGCACTTAGCTTTTAAGATGAGTAAAATAATATTATTTAACTCATATTTTTATATATTTATATATTATTATATATATTTATATATTTAACTCATATTATTAGATGTACATTTGATGAAAATACGAGAAAAATGATGTCTTATCTTATGCACTAGTCTGTTTATGTGTGAAACTATTGAAAACAAGAAAAATTTTGTAAAATTACCAATAAATTACGGTCTCATTATAATTTTACTGTAAGTAAAATCGTCACCTTGAATCCAACGGTAATTTCACATCTCCAGCGCGAGCATAAATCAACACAGGGATTACGAGCGCGCGAACGAGATTTGCGCGCACGGTCGCGCGCGAGAGCGCACGAATTTAATGAATTCCGTAAGTGACAGAGTCGCGCTGATAGAGTCGTGTCATAAATAGCGCGCAATCTTGCTTACCCGAGCCTGTCCGCGGGTCTGGCGCCGCGCGTGCTTGCTTACATCCATCTCGCTGTGTTGAGATAGTCAAATGACGATCAGATAGGACCGAGAGGCCCTTTGAATAAATCCTCAGACCGATAGGAAGGCGGTCCCAAGGGGTTTGCTCGACAGCGCGATAGCCGATAATGGTCTGGTTCAGGCACCGTCCAATTCTCGGGTTAATTACCATCGTTTTAACCCGCCGCGATATCGATGCCATTTCTTAAACCGAATGTAGTCTCCCGCGAAATTGATTCTGCCGGGACAGATATTTATCTGCCCGATACGCGCAGACTTTGCGCGCGCCATACATCACGCCGAATCCCGTCCCGCAATTTGTTATCGCGAGCATCGATCGCGTTGTCGTTCTTCGCGAATTATTCGAGCGGGACATTATCGTCTCGTGGCGGCGATTTTGCGTGAGATATTCAGATCGCCGGTCATCGATATGCCGATCACTCTTTCCTTTTCTTTTTTTTCGTAATAAATTATAAACTCATACAATTTTACGGTCGCGTATAAAGTACATGTGAACTTTTCAAGTGCGACTAATACGGAGCTATTTATATCAACGCGCGAGATAACAGCCCGATTCTAACTTGTGCGAGGCTTGCGTGAGCGAACGACGGCGTCGAGGGAGTGGGGTTTGAGGGGGAGAGAGCAGTACACCAGAGGGTGAGTTGTTTCCGTCGCTACATCGATATTACTATCTGACAAAGATGATAGCGTAGTGGACTCGCATAACGTGTTCCGTGGTGGTGCGCGATTAAGCGGCATGTTTTACGGGTGACGGTGTATCGCGCGGCGTGATCGAAATGTGTCGCGAGTGAAGAATTCCCCGGGATTACCCCCGGCAAGGAATTATTCTTCCGCTGTTGACAAAATCAGCGGCCGACATCTCACGGCCGGCGGCTGACGAGCACCACGGCCGGGTGGAACGAGTTCGCGAATACGAGCGGCGGAACACAACACGCGTACGAAACGTTTATTTTCGCACGGCGACGCGCGGCACCCGTCTTTCGGAGAATCCGGTCGATTCGAAACCGCGTGAGATCCGTACATTTCCGGCGCGAGCGAGCGCGAGCCCCGAGTAACCGTTCTCGTTTCTCTACTCCCACTCTACTCCTTCTCTCTCTTTCTCTCACCGGTCAACTCGCGCGTCGTGCGTCATAAAGATTACAACGTAAAAGTTCCGCGAATGTATGCCGCGCCGGCAATTACGCAGCGAGAACTTTCCACCGGCCCTGTCTAATTACGGTAACACATTGACTCGCGTCACGTAATTGCGGCGGCGCCCGAGTACAGCGAAAGATCGCGTATCCATGATCGACCTTAAGCCCCGCGCGCTCTCTGCGCCAGTTTTGATGCGGGAGCGCTGTGTAAAACTTTTATTCCGGCGAATCTCAACTCGCAGCTGCGCGAAAAGCTTTTCGTTTTACTCGCGAGGCCGCCACGTCGATAAGCGCCTTGCGAGCACGTCGTAATATGCCCCTAAGTGATTACTCCGCCCGAATTCGCGTGTCTGCGCGTCGCGATGCCCTCGTGCTTTCTCCCGCGGCGAAGAAGGGAGTGAAGTAACGAGCGGACGCCGATGCAGCATCGCACCGTGAACCGCGATGTAAAATCACCGTGCTGATACAACAGAACCACCATCACGCCGCGCAAAAATTCACCAAGATTTTCCCAGACGCAGCATAGATCCCGATTGACCTCAAAATTAATTATAAAATTGATTATCCTGTTGGCGTGATACACAGAGAAAGTATTATAGTTTTCTGTTTCGTATAAATTCTTTTCCATCTTAGTATTTTTTTATATATTTTTATATTCCATTTTATATATTTTTTATACATATAAATTCTTTTTTTTATATAATAAAATTTTTTGCATAAATCCTTTCTTTATACACACACATATAATAAAATTTTTTATAATAATATTATTTTTCATATATAAATCCTTTTTATTTTAGTATTTTTCTAGTAATGCAGACCGACAGTAAAGTCTACCTTGCAAAGCTACATAGTAAATTTCTCTAGAAACATAGCAAAAACAGCACTGAATAATGAAATAATTTGAAAAACCGACGTATATGTTTGGTTCAATTCAACTTTAATATGAAATGAAGACTGGGAAAGATATTGGGAAAACTTTCGGGTTCCACTTACAATTGCATGTTTGAAACATTATGCACTTAGAAATTTATTTGTGAGACATAAAGTTCTTGTAAAACAAAGCAAGTTTCTGTGAAGTACAAACTTCACATCCCACACAAATAAATTTTCGAGTACCTTTCTGTACCTTTCTGTACTTATAAATAGACCCATAGTTGTTTTGGAGAATCCAAAATGGATCTCAATTAGAACCCATTCCCTATGCGCGCGATTACATCGTAATATCGTCGATAAAGTAACGCTATTGTCTTCGTTTGCAGGTTGCGCGTTCCTCACCTACTACAGCCGTGACAGCGCAATCAGCGCCCAGAACGCTCTGCATGAGAAGCGGACTTTACCAGGGGTGAGTGTTTACAACATTTACTGCGCAGTTTACCTACTTTTCAGCCAATTATGCCCCAGTAATGCCGACTCATTTCGTGTCGTGCCCACTCCCCAGGCGCGGGCAAATCTTATCTCGGTCTCGCTTAATAAGCGCTCTCTCGTTAGTCGTTGCTATACCGCGGGGACCGTTGGTTACCGCTCGCTCGAGCGAAAACGTAACTGCGAACCGAAGGGGCGATATATTTCTCTTAATCGCCAAGTTTCATCGAAGCGCGCGCGGCGTATGCGCGACGTTTCGACGGATATACCGTATATAACCCGACACAACACACCGTTCCTTATTACGAATGCCCGCGGATACGCGGAGATTAGCCGGCGTTGAGACCAGCGCCGCGCGGAGCGTTTTACAACGCGGGACCATTGGAAGTGCTCCAAGTTTGCGGGCAAAACTTCAAAACATCGATTTATTTAGTCTCCGTTTCGCTCGGTGCTTCATGGAACGGCCATTGAGTAATACCCGCGACAGCCGCCTGTAATTTCCAATGGGGGAGGCGCTCGACAGTAACGGATACTTATCGCCGTCGGCAGCCGTATGGCCGTTTCTCCGACTAATTTCGGCGATTCGCCGCCGACGCCGCGATCCGGGATATTAAAATGGCCCGACGTGACGAGTTAATCTCTTAACGCCGAAAGGCCATTTACGCGGGAAAGAGAGGATCGCGGGCAAGGGAAGGAGAGAGAGCGCGCGCGCGATCGCGCCAGGGGTGGCACTGACGCGGCGAGTCCGCGATGTATCATCAGACTTTCTGCACGGCGAAACCCTCCGCAAATGCCAGGGCCGGACGCGCTTATTCTTATTCCCCCGATGGCACGAGAATCGCGCGTTTCTCTCGCCACGATCCGGCTGCGGCATTTACATTCGAGTGAGTCGCGCGTGCAGCGCAGAAACGGAGAAAGTCGTCTCCGGGGGGGTATGAAGAAGGGCGAAAGAAACGGCGTTCTATAATCGTACGGTCCGAACGACACGGATGGCTCCTCCATATTTATGGCGAGTAACGTCGTAAATAACGCCGGACGTTACGCCGCTAGCACGGGCCGGCCGAGTTGCTAACTCGACATAGCTCTCGGTCGCACAATGTTAGAAAGTTATGATATCTTCGGGATATCCGGAAGATTTCTGCCGGACGTTTATCGCGTCCATAACGCGCGACGCTCGCCGTACCCTCGTATATCAACGTTGGTGTTCTCTGCTCATGGGAGCACACGAATTATATCACGGCAATGAGCCGCAATTAATCTCGCACGAGCACGCGACTCGCTTATCAAGACCACGCCGACGTGTTTCTTTTCGCGAAGCTATCGTCACGGGTCGTACACCCGAGTTGAAATTTTAGCCTCCCCTTTCTACGTTACATCCCGATTGGGACGTCTTGCTCTTCGATTACTGGACGAAAGTTAACACAACTCTCGAATCGACATTTTACCCTCACTCTAGTAGAAATTGAACCTCGTTCGTGTCTAGCCACGAGATAGTGAATTTGTGTCTGACACCACTACTAGCCAATAATGTAACGCTCACTTCTCCTAATGGCTAGATAAATAAGTTAGCTAATGATTAAGCAAACGAAATTACAGTTATGAGGTGAAAAATTATAAATGCTAGCCAGTGATGTTATGCTCAATTCTACTTGCTTGAAATTTTCATGAAATTAACGTATCTTCAATTTTTTCATTAGCTACCTAATTTTTTTTTAAATGATAATGGTGATATAATAGCTAGATTATATATTTTAGAGCAGACATCTCTGCTTTATCATATTTGATATATAATGGCTAAACCTGATTCTATTCAGCGAATTTATTCAGCGATATTATTCAGCGAATAATCAACAAGTTAATAACGAGCTAGAAAATGAAATCTAGTTTGTTAGATACTAACTTTTGACTCAATCTGGCTAGTTACATTTTTACTCGGGCATTTTCTAGCATTTGTATGTTCTGAAGGATCAGTATACGTTTAACGTATATACTGAAATCCTGCTAAAAGCCGCTAAATGACAAAAAACGCACAAAATGCCATTTGTAGGTTCTAGAGAAGTTAGTCTCGGCAAAGTTAGTGTGGATTAAATAGAATCAAAAGAATCAGCACAGAACTTCATAGAGTATCAAAATGGGCAGGTTAGGTGGGACATTGAGGCCGAAAGTAGTGTGAAAATTTCGACTCGACTGGCGACTGCCGACTGCCGAGAGGCCCGCACTCGAAACTCCCAAAATTTATCATCGATCGTAGTCCCGGCGAGCCAGCACTGAACGCTGCTTAACTGCCAGAGCAGTGCCAACACGCCCCTTCCCATTATCTGAGCTACCCCTTGGAAGTCCGTAGCGAGTACTGGCGTTATGTTTCGTTAATCTATCCCCGAAACAACGCTGCTACGGTCTTGGCACCGCTGCCAGCGGAAATCGTTTTAAATGTTATGCCGAGGGATGTGCCGAGGGGGCACGGTTGAGTTATGACTTTATGAAGAGGCAGACGCACATACGCGCGCGCGTCGACATTTTTTTTCTTCCCTCTCCCTTTTTTTTTGCTTTGCTTTGTTTGGACGCACGCGGTTTCCGCGTGTTGGCCGCCTACGAGATATATCTGAAAAAAATCTGCACGTCCGATTCCCGTGATATATGCGTCGCGGCGAAACCGCTCCATCCGAAATTGCGCGGTTAGCCCGATCCGACGACGGAAATACCTATCTCGTTGCGTTCGCTTAAAAGAGTTTCTGGTCGAAATTTTGACATTTCACATCTTGATGATGTCGTGATATTGCATTAATAATGCAACGTGAAGTCGTGTAATTTGCGAAATAAAAAAATACGAAATATATCTCTTGCATTGACAAGCAAACCTACCCAAAAGATACACTCCGATTTTTTTCTAATTTGGTAAATGTAGAAGTACAACAAATATTTAGGTCATATTTTTTTTATTTTGGCCCACTTTGAGGCAATTTAAAATTTTTTATAGCTTTTTAATGTTCTCATTCCTATCATCAAATACAAGAAAAATACATAAGAAATAAAATTAAATGCAAGATATAGTTAAATAATTTTAATAAAATTGGCATAGCTGAGACATGAACCATTCTAAATTTCTTTAGTCAAGATTCCAATCGAAATATTTCAAATCTGTATCAAATTAGTCAAAAATGGTTCGAATCTCGGCCAAATCGAGAAATTATTTGTATAAATAATTTTTTTCAACTTTTTACATGTTTTGTTTAAACATTTTATTACTTATACAAATAATTTTAACAAAATCAGCATAACTGATATAGGAACCATTCTAAATTTCTTTAGCCGAGATTCCAACCGAAATATTACAAATCTGTGTTAAATTAGTCAAAAATAGTTCGAATCTCGGCCAAACCGAGAAATTATTTATATAAATAATTTTTTTCCAATTTTTTACATGTTTTGTATAAACATTTTAATATTTTTACTAATAATTTTAACAAAATCGGTATAGCTAAGACACGAACCATTCTAAATTCCTTTAGCCGAAATTCCAACCGAAATATTTCAAATCTGTGCTAAATTAGTCAAAAATGATTCAAGTCTTGGCTAAATCGAAAAATTATTTGTATGCATAATTTTTTTCAACTTTTACATGTTTTGTTTAAACATTTTATTATTTATACAAATAATTTTACACATTTGACTTCATATTCATAATCAATAAACTAAAAACGCCTATATCTTGTATTCAATTTTATTTTTTATGCATTTTTGTTGTATTTGTTGATGATAGGAGTGAGAACAAAAAGCTTCAAACTGAAAGTGGGCCACTCAAAGGGTGAAATTCAAAGTGGGCCAAAATAAAAAAAATATGGCCTAAATATTTTTTGTACTTCTATATTTGTGCCATATTAGAAAAACATCGGAATGTAACTTTTGGGTAGGTTTACTTATGAGAGAAAAAGAAACAATCGATCTAACTGAAACTATTTTTGGCTCCAACCATATTTTTTAGTAAAATGATAGTATACAATAATATGCATGTAAAGATGTTATCACTAACATTATAGTAGAATTTAATTTAAAAAATAAGTTTCTGAGCTATAATTTATAACAATTATTTCTCTGTGCGATTATAATTATAAATAGACATTTTTTCTCTGTATGTGATTGATTTAGACAATACAAAGCTATCCCGAAACTAAATTATCACTCTATATTAACTCAGAAAGTAAGTTCTATTGCATTTGGAAGACCAGTAGAGTATTTTTGAATCTGACACAGGTTGTTATCTATTGATGCAGCAAATTGTTGCTTTCCGCAGTCTCGTTGAGACTTAAAAGAACACTTATTCAAAAATTATTTTCCATATGGTTGTCTCAACAGTCTACCTACATTTAATCTCCCTCAATTCTTAATTTAAGTCGTGTTTTAATTACGTAATTTATTCTTTTTCGCAGATAGATTATCGTAAATAATCTAATAAATATTAATAAGAAAACGGGTAGACAGAAGAATATATGTTCTTTTTTTATAAATCCCCTTGTATTATCAGTTCGTATTGGCATTGGAAATTTTGATGAGATTTAGAAATGAAAAGGCTTCAAACCTCGTCACCGTCTGTTGCTACATCCTGCGTCCCATGATCCGTCCTGGAGTTGACTTCTTGGTCATTATCGTGACCAGACGCACAAAATTTGAAAAACCGATCGGAAGCAATTGATTAGCAACCACATGATGGCCGAATACTACAAGCCACATTTGCATACACACAAAAAAACGCGCGTTCAACCGTCGTCATAATGTTTTCAGAATATTGATCAACCTAGGATATGCTTGTCATTCAGTAGCGAGCGATTAATGGGGAGTGACTTCGCTATTTTCCGAAGATGCGCATTGTTTTGAAATCCTGATGCGCTATATATTTGTACGTGTGACAAAGTGTCATTACGTCTCGAGCCGGCGAGCGATATACACCGCGGCACCATGTATCGGCACATTGTTTACAATTCC